CCCTCCAAAAAAAGAAAAGAAAAGCAGTAAAGGAGTAAAGATGGTTCGTATTTTTAATCCAAAAGAACATAACAATAATAAATACCTGAATTAAATCACATATAAAATTCCATTCAAAGAAAAGGAAAGTTAAGGATGGGAAAGCGTGTGTGTTTTAGTGTTATAGGGGTGAGAACTGAGAAGACATGAGCCACTGAACGCTGGCGTACTGATGGGGGGGGGGGGGGGGTCATTTCTTATTCGATACCAGTGATTTACAAATGTTGCTGACATGACATGATTTTCCCTAATTTTTTCTCAATTTTTTTGTAAGTCGTGCTTTTTTAATGTGTTTGTTGGAAATTTAGAAATTCCCAAATTTACAGTCGGGCGAAATATATATGCTTATTTAGAAGCGTTCATGTCAGGTCCTTCAGAACGACTGGGCTCGGGGGCTCGAGACCCCCCTCACTTTTTGAAAAAGTATGTTACAGAGAAAAAGAAAGAAATGAGGTATCAACATTATGCTCATCTGACCGTAATGCAATGCCTAAAACCTCTGAGCTTCAGGGGGCTCTGCCGACTGGACTACACCAATGGCCTTAAAGAGTGCCTCTGGGTGCTCATCTAACCGTAATTAAATACCTAACAAAAACCTGGGCTTCCGGGGGCTCTGCTCCCTGGAATCCCCGCCAATTAGTGACCTGCCAGTGTTACAAATATGGTATTTTTACATGCTTATCTGACCGTAATTTAATGCGTAAAAACCCTGAGCTTTCGGGGGCTCATCCCCTTGACCCCCTGTTTGCTCCAAACAATTTCGTGTTAAACAATGGTGTGGTGATCACACCAGCCCCAACATTGAATTTGCCCTGCTTCAGTCCGTTGCTTGAATGATTTTGCAGTGAACCTCATGCGCAAGCCCTGTTGTTTAGAATCAGTAACCGGGACGATGGCGATGAGCGAGTATGACTATGACGTAAGCTACTCATATTGGATCTAAACCAAGATCATCCCCTCTCTGCAGCTCCCTGCCTCTCCCTCTCGCTCTCTCTCTCTCGATATCTCTCCCCCTCTCTCTGTGCAAATGACATTCATTGTCAGAAATGCATTACTCAATCATCTTTATGTTGTCTCTCAGCAAATGAAAAACATGAACTGGGAGCGCCATAATTCATCACTCGAGTCACGTTGAACTATTCCACGTATATGATATTTCCTACTAAAATTTTGAAATCACTCTCTGTACAAATTCAAATGCTGTATATCGGATTACATTTTGAGAGTGCCATTTTATATACACGTTGATATCATTATTGAATTATTCGGGTATTCTTCTTTTGATCGCCCCCGCCCCCGTGAGCAACCTGACGGGGGCGATTATGTAGCTCACGGGGGCGAATCGCCCACCGCCCCCGTGAATTTTGAGCGCTGGTCCTTGGGGACGTTGCGCTTCAAACATTTTTTGTTTATGCATAATTGTTCCTACTATGTATTATATATCAATGTAACCCACTGTATTTTATTACCTGTTAAAAGTTATTTTACATGGTGAATAAAACAAACAAACAAACAAACAAACAAACAAACGAAATGTGCTGACAATCCTTAAAAGCAAATAATAGAGCAAACGAACGTCAATCAAAAGAGATTCCGCTATGTAGTGCACTGTAATGCCAAATAAAATCTTTCATTTTTATTTACGGCCCCTCGGCCATTATGTCATGCTTTGCATTAGACGGGCTCATCAATGGGAGTGTCTTTGCAACAAAGGGCACCTGCAATAAAGTAGAGAGAGAGAGAGAGAGAGAGAAAGGGGGCTGGATAGGGGGAGCACTTTTGCCCCCCCCCCCGAAAAAAACGCCCCCTCCAAAAAAAGAAAAGAAAAGCAGTAAAGGAGTAAAGATGGTTCGTATTTTTAATCCAAAAGAACATAACAATAATAAATACCTGAATTAAATCACATATAAAATTCCATTCAAAGAAAAGGAAAGTTAAGGATGGGAAAGCGTGTGTGTTTTAGTGTTATAGGGGTGAGAACTGAGAAGACATGAGCCACTGAACGCTGGCGTACTGATGGGGGGGGGGGGGGGGGTCATTCTTATTCGATACCAGTGATTTACAAATGTTGCTGACATGACATGATTTTCCCTAATTTTTTCTCAATTTTTTTGTAAGTCGTGCTTTTTTAATGTGTTTGTTGGAAATTTAGAAATTCCCAAATTTACAGTCGGGCGAAATATATATGCTTATTTAGAAGCGTTCATGTCAGGTCCTTCAGAACGACTGGGCTCGGGGGCTCGAGACCCCCCTCACTTTTTGAAAAAGTATGTTACAGAGAAAAAGAAAGAAATGAGGTATCAACATTATGCTCATCTGACCGTAATGCAATGCCTAAAACCTCTGAGCTTCAGGGGGCTCTGCCGACTGGACTACACCAATGGCCTTAAAGAGTGCCTCTGGGTGCTCATCTAACCGTAATTAAATACCTAACAAAAACCTGGGCTTCCGGGGGCTCTGCTCCCTGGAATCCCCGCCAATTAGTGACCTGCCAGTGTTACAAATATGGTATTTTTACATGCTTATCTGACCGTAATTTAATGCGTAAAAACCCTGAGCTTTCGGGGGCTCATCCCTTGACCCCTGTTTGCTCCAAACAATTTCGTGTTAAACAATGGTGTGGTGATCACACCAGCCCCAACATTGAATTTGCCCTGCTTCAGTCCGTTGCTTGAATGATTTTGCAGTGAACCTCATGCGCAAGCCCTGTTGTTTAGAATCAGTAACCGGGACGATGGCGATGAGCGAGTATGACTATGACGTAAGCTACTCATATTGGATCTAAACCAAGATCATCCCCTCTCTGCAGCTCCCTGCCTCTCCCTCTCGCTCTCTCTCTCTCGATATCTCTCCCCCTCTCTCTGTGCAAATGACATTCATTGTCAGAAATGCATTACTCAATCATCTTTATGTTGTCTCTCAGCAAATGAAAAACATGAACTGGGAGCGCCATAATTCATCACTCGAGTCACGTTGAACTATTCCACGTATATGATATTTCCTACTAAAATTTTGAAATCACTCTCTGTACAAATTCAAATGCTGTATATCGGATTACATTTTGAGAGTGCCATTTTATATACACGTTGATATCATTATTGAATTATTCGGGTATTCTTCTTTTGATCGATTTGAAACCCATTAGTCCAGGGGCGGCGATTTCTTTCATGACTGGGGGACGAAATGCTAGGGACGAGGGAACAGCGGCGTAATGAGCAAAAACCTTTTTTTTGTGGGGGGGGGGGGGAGAAAAAAATCACCATCACCATCACTCGTACATGTTACGCAGGCACTGTGGGGGGGGGGGGGGGCTAAAGTATTTACGATCAAGTAGAGCAAAGCAAAGTGGAGCGTAAATTGGCGTGGGGTCCAGGGGCAAAGCCCCGGCGGGTGTCAAGGGGCGATGCCCCATGAAGCTCAGTGGTTTTTAAGCATTTATTGAGGTCAGATGAGCATATTTGAATCCTTATTTGTGACACTGGCATGCAGGTCACTAATTGGAATGGGGTCCGGGGGGCAAAGCCCCGGAAGCTCAGGAGTTTAAGGCATTTAATTACGGTCAGATGAGCAACCAGTGGCCCCCCTTCGGTCCCCTGGTGGGGTCCAGGGGGCAGAGCCCCCGAAGCCCAGGGAAAAAATCATGCCATTTCAGCAACATTATAAATAAACCACGTTTAAATTTCATTTAGGGGGAACTGTCCCCAAAGCCCCCCCCCCCCCCCCACCCATCAGTACGCAAGTGCGAGTGAGCAATAGTGAATGAGAGGGGTAAAGGTGACGGAAGTGACTACCCCCTCACAGGTTTTTGAAGTTTTGTTGTATTACAAAATTACAGTCCTTAGCAAAACTACAGTATAAAAACAAGCAATAAACGATTTTCACACTTCAATTTTTTGGAATTTTTTGAACTTTTTGAAGGATATTATGCGAGGTACCGTAGCTACCAAGTGAGAAGATTTTTGCAATTTTATTCGTCTAAACGCTGCACTCTTGGGCCCTCCAGAGCCTAAAAGTGTGTTGCAGTCTTTAGTTAGTATTTGCTATACATTTTTTGCACTTTTTCAAATTTTGATGGGGGGATGATCCTCCCCCTTCAAAATTTGAGGGGGGACATGTTTACCCCGTCCCCCCCCCCCCCCAGGATAGCCGCCCCTGCATTAGTCTCTCTCTCTCTCTCTCTTCATGGTATATATCTGACGTTTCAACTTTTTTCTCCTACTTCTTTTTGTTCACTTCTGTCTACAAAACGTTGGGTGTTTTGTGTCGTAATTACTGCATGTGAGCACGCACTCTTTCCGTCAGAGTGTCTGTGTGTCTCTACCCCCTTCTTCTTCTTTTTCTTCTTTCTCTCTCTCTCTCTCTCTCTCTCTCTCTCTCATTCCCTCCCCCTTTCTTCGTTTTGACCTGTTCTCCGATATGTATTTCTCTCTCTACCTCTCTCTTTCTCTCCCCCTCTCTCTCATTTTTGTTCAGATTCCCCATGCAGTTATCTCTTTCACTTATTATCACCTGAACTCAGATGATTTTATTCCTCTTCAAAGAATACCTTTCACCACCTATCTAGCTTACCAATACAACCAGGCCCTGTATAAAAAAATGTTGCGATTGATTCAAATCAATCGCAAATTAAACATTTATCGCAACCGTGTACTTCAAAGATAGGAGTTGCGATTAATTTCAAGTTGCGATTGATTTGAATCAATCGCAACATTTTTTGATACAGGGCCTGGTTGTATTGGTAAGCTAGATAGGTGGTGAAAGGTATTCTTTGAAGAGTAATAAAATCATCTGAGTTCAGGTGATAATAAGTTGCGATTGATTTCACGTTGCGATTGATTTCAAGTTGCGATTGATTTCACGTTGCGATTGATTTCAAGTTGCGATCAATCAGAAGCAATCACAAGTCTTTAAAAGACGGGGCCCTGCCTATCTCTATAAATCTACTCTTGAATAGTTGGAAATAGTTTGTATCAAAAGCATTTATCAATATATGCACATACTGTATGTTATATTAAATACGAATCGTGTGACATGTAACTTTAGTCACCATCAACTGCAAGTTTTACAAGCTTAACATTTTCTTCAAAAAGCACAACACTAATATATAAAGCCATACAATATAATGTTTTATCACGAAGAATATTCAAGAAGATTTGTTTAAAAGTTTTTGTTTCGTAATATTTTGTTATTCAATCACTTCATAAGTGGGGGGGGGGGGGGGGGTGGCCTATTGAGGTTGAATTGTTTAATACATTGTATACTGCTCGAGAAATGACTTGGTTTGAGTCGTATCTTGGTCAATTACACTAGTTCATGCACCCAAAAGAATATTTTCACTACTTTTATGCAACTACGAATAATAACTTAAACCTCATTTAAAATGGAATTTGCAAAGTGATTGTCGAGCCAAATGTATTGTAATTCTTTTTAATGCTTTCTACACGAAAACAGCTTATAAAAGTGAATGGTTCAATAAATATGACATTTTGTATTTCGTTGTGAAGATTCATGCAGAAACGAAAAAATATTAATCTTGAACAGGAAATTCTTACTGCAATTAAAAAATGCTATTGCCCATTTCATTACAGTTGATTCGTTTAAAGTAAGATATATTCAGTAACATCTTTAAATATCAAACAAGCGTACAGAGTTAAAGTGAAATATAAAGTCAGCCTCTTTAAAGATATGATTATGATTACATGTGCGTTAGCAAATTAGAATACTTTCATTGCATAATCTAAGAGTTCTAAAATGTATGTAAAATGGAGTAATGATGCTGACTGCGTGTTTTTAATATAATTGCTTCAGGATCGTAAAGCGCAATAAAACCCTGTTCTATTTGTCAGATTAACGAATCTCCTGGATAATAAATACTATTTCATATTAGGAATTCCGGACCTTTAGACAAAGTTGCCTTCGAAAAAATGACAGTTTGGACTAGATAATGATAACAATGATTGTAATTTGATTTATATAAAGCATCAGATATTGTAAATAGTGAAGCTTCAAGTTATTTCAGTTCGGAGTAATGGACCCTTGATAAAAAATTGTTCTTGTTCAGCATGTACTTAAAAACCTTCTGGCTCTTCGGCATAAAAAGTCATGTTAACATGGTTTATGCCTATATACATCAAATCAATAAAGGTTTTATTCAAACATGTATCGCAGCGAGTGGCTGAATTGCACATGTGTATACATATTTTGTTTTAAATTTAACAAAATAAATCTAAATGTATCGCATGAAATATAACCATAATTTACACTTTAGCATAAGACAGCTTAAAATTGATTAAATCGAATCATACACTAAAAATAACAGCGGACATTATATAACACATCCTTTAAAATGTCACAAGAATTCGGCTTGATTGCCCTAAAATGAGTTACAGCATCCCAAACTTAAAAAACGTATATCCTATCAGTAAAAATGTCATTATTAAAAAATTGCATTTCTGATTTTTACATTCATGAGTATAAAACAGTATAAATAAATATTTAAAAAAGGGGGAGGGGCGGTTAACTATTCAACAAGCAAGATCATGGTCCACAATGAACGTACATGTATGTTTGTATTGTATAGAGGCACCGACGGGAGATAAATTAATGTCATGTCTTATTTTATATACATTGTATATGACAAAACGTGAATGAATGAATTGAATTTCAGCATTGTACTTTTGTTCTGCATATTGCATTAATGCAAAACTTTTAAAACTTTGAATAGCCCAAGGAACTGTATGACCATGATAACGCTTTTAAGATAAGTCTACATTTCAGAAACAATCCTTCGACGACACAGCATTGTCACAGCCGGCAAAGATATTTCGAAGCCGGCGATGCAGCTATTCAGCTATATTTCGATCTCAAGGATAACAAGATGTTGTCGATGCCGTCCATGAAGCCATTCACCGATGACCGATGTCGGTGACGTCCGGTTGTCCGACATCATCCACTGAGTGATATTGTTCATTATCTGTGAAAACAATCTGATGTCAATTTTCACCGTCGTCGTCGTTCTCCTCGAAGAGGAGGAGATCATGCGATGTCCATGTCCGAAAGTTTTATCCGAAATTATTTGATGTACATGACGTCAGCACTGGTACTGGAGGTGGAGCATCGGGGAGGGTAGGTGACGTCATGATGGCGATGGATTACTAGTATCTGAAGTGTCATGGGCGTGGTCCTGATGGGGGTTATGGGCGGGGCTTTGGGCGAGGATTTGGGCGGGGTTAGGGATGGGGTCGGTGACCACTACGACCCCACTATCTTGTCTCGATGCACCACGAATCCGTCTTCCTGTACATGGGGGAAAAAAAGAAAATTTTGATTTATTAGCTGATACTCACTCTGTTCACTTTACTAATTATAAGCAAATCTGAAGTTGACTCTAAAGTGATGTAAACGTCGAACATATCACATTGTATACAATTATTAAAATGGCATACGATTGGACCGGGCCTGGCCACCTTGGAGGCAAGATCGGGGCCCACATTTGGGGTATGATGGCATGTTTGGGGCAAGATAGGACACACAGATATGAATATGTTCCCATCACTTTTAGTCATGTATTATGGTGTATAGAAAAATACGATTGTTGATAAGCGCCGGTATCCGTTTGAGCTTGCATGGCTCAGGCGTTCGTGGTGCTTGCTCTACAATATAATCCATTTAAACATTAAACATTTAAAATACTATTTATACTCTTTATATACAGGTACGCTGCTCGTGGTAAATGCACTCAAACCAATATGAAATTATATATCTTTCCATCTAGAAGTACAATGGGGAGCTGCGGAGCAAGAACAATTTGCACGGTCTGCAAATGATTTGACCTCTTTACTAAATGCACAGGATATCCCTTTAAAAGAAAACATTTCTAAGAAGAATAAATCGGAAATGCAGGATTGTATTCACGAATTATTTCAGAAGAAAAGAGTTCAAAACGTTTAACCAGGCTAAAGCAGAAGAGACAACAAGGGGGAGTAGAAGGGGGAAGAAAAGGAGGAGAAGACGAAGGAGGAGAATGGAGGAGGAGGAGGAGGTGGAGGAGAAGAAAAAGGCGGAGGAGGAGAAGAAGGTGAGAATAAAAAGGAGATGATCATGACTATGTGATGAATATGATGATGAAGATGATGATGGTGTTGATGTTGATGAAAAAGAAGAAAAAAGAGGCAGAAGAAAAAGAGAAAGAAGGAGTGAAGATGATAATTATGAAGAAGAAGAAGACACGTTGAGAAATGGAGGGAGAATGGATAAGGTATAAACTGAAAATAAAATCTTAAAAAGGAAGGATTGAAATCAAGCAGATGATAACTATTAAAAAAGATCAGTAAATAAACATAAGCAAAAGAAACTTGAGAAGGAAATACTGAAACTGAAAGTAAAGTTAAGCGAGGTAAGCAGGAAGTAATCAATAATTTCCTTTTCAAAACAAATTTCTTTTGCTTTTGTTTATTTACCGATCTTTTCATAAAACCACCCTTTGGTATCTTTCCAAAAGATCTATGAAAACCAGAAGTACGCCGAAAAAATGATCACACTTTTTTTATAAACACTTATAATGCTTACGCATGCGATATATTGATGGTTTATAAGAGCAATAAGAATCGGAAAGCCCCCAATTTATATTTTGTAGGATATCCTTGTTGAATGACGTTATGAGCATGATTTTGCAAGGGATAAAAGGGCAGAAGGGGTATGGTCACCGTGGTCACGACGTAAAATATGAGAAATCTCCTTACATTTTTCTTTCTTTCTTTCTTTATATCTTTCTTTCTTAACTTGCTTCATATCTTTCGTTTGTTCCCTTGTCATGTATCATTCGGGTGGATGAGACATCCCTGCATACAGAATCCCGGAGCCACCCCTGGATTAGCCTTTTGACAAGGCCTCGTTGACTCTGGCTAAGCGGCTGAGATGAGTCTAGATACCCGGAGTGAACGCGCGACCGAATGACACAGGTCTGGACAATTCGCACTGGCGTTCATTCAGGTTTTTGCGATTAGTCTCTTTTTAGTCGCTCGGCGTCTATCAGGCATGTGGCCTTGTTTAAAGGCTACCCCTGGATGTATATTTTACTTTTTTAATGGAAACATCCATTTTTTCTTCAGTTTCCCTTTTCTTTTCGCTTGTCATACACTTGGGAATTGGACCCCCCCCCCCTTGTACAGGATCCTGCATCCGCCCTGTCTTCTCCTTAAGTGTTAAAACTATGATCTGTTAAGTTGTTGCGAATTTAATTGAGTTGAATAACGAATATGGACCTACCATTTCCACTCAGATTTGAAGGCTCTGATAATGCGGGTGGCGCACAACATTTACGGCAGCACACGCACCTCATGCAGAGGTCCTTGAGTGCGTCTCGACTCTGCTGCTTCATGAACACGAAGACGAACGGGTCAACGACATGGTTGCTGACGAGGAGGACGACGACCAGGAGAAGATACCAGTTGGGCTGGTTGACGTCGAAAGCTTTGAGAAGACGTTGGACCTGTAACGATAGATCAATGGCATAATAATGATTGGGAGGTACTCATTTTACCGAAGGTTCGTTTTCCCAAAGTTACATCATTCCGAAGGTTCTTAATTTCGAAACAAAAATGCCCATAGCATGGAGTTCACAATTCCGAAAATGAAAATAGGGCTCATAATTCCGAATATTTGCTCTGTTATTTCAAAGGTTTGGTTATCCGAAGGTCCATAATTCTGAAAGTGAAATAGGTATCGTTATTCTGAAGGCTGGGAATTCAGAAAAATAATACAGGGTTCCATCTCATTCTCGGAGATATAGACCGTCGGAATAAGGAACCCGATTTCATTTCCGGAATTAGGAACCCTATTTCATTTTCAGAAGTTAAGAACGTTTTGGAAATACGGGCCTTCGGAATCATGGCCCAGCGGAAGAACCTTGAAATTCATGAACATTCGTAAAGACGACATATTATGTATACAAAATGATTAAACACTTTTTGCATAATGTACATAAAGTGAGAAAGATGTAAAAAATAATGTAAGGAGAGAAATATAATTTGGTAGCAGTAATATTAGGGATCACATCCTTTGGGGTTAATCCTCTTAAACACAGGTTTAGTTGAATACACTCCGAAGAAGTGGTTGGATAGCTATTATAGAGAGAGATTTTATTAGCTTGCCAATGGATTTTATACTATTTTGAGCGTGGGTTTCCCCGTCAGACGAAGTGATCTCGGATAAGTACGGCTCCTAAGAAGTGGATCTATTCTCTAGACAGTATATAAAGAGGAAGAGAGTAAAAAAAGAAAGAAGAAACGATGTCCCGAAATGAGTGTGAGGGTGGGGGTAATAAACAGAGACAGAAACAAATAAACATAATTATGAAAACATCATAACTAGGCGGAAATTTAAATAAGCGGCACCATCTGGCAACTTGGAAAGCGAAAATTGAGGAGCTTTTTGTTGTAGATGAGACAGTTGAAACACTGAGACAATGAGAAAGGGGAATAGTATAACCAGGTGCAATACAATAGATTGATGAATTGCTGACCCCCTCACCCTCCCTACCGTAAAGGTGCCCACTTTTCACTTACATAAAAGGGTAGCCACGATATCGTAAAGACCACTGAAATAACACAGACCGTATAGGCTAGACGAATCTCCCTGCCAATTCTAGCTTTCGACTTTTCGGGGTCCACTTTCGGCAAGATGTCCTTGTCTTTAGTATAAACAAAGGAACTATCATCGAGGTTTTGGTTGGTCCCACCTTCGTTGGGATTCACAACTGTCACCTGAGTCTCCAAGTCTGTTGTCGAATGAGGTGGCCTACTCGATGTCAACGATCCTGCATGAATATAGCGAGCTAACTGTTCTAATCCTGCCGTCTTTCTACCAAGGTCTCGAAGCGTCAACATGACTAGCGTGTTGCAAATGTAGATGGTTGACAACATGCATGCGCCGACTGTAATGTAAATTCCCATGAAAATCTTATTTCCGAGGTCGCTACGGGACCCTAGTTCGCCAGGAGGCGTGCAGACAACAACTGTCGCGTTGGCCGGCGTCGTCATCGTGTCCGCCGCGTAATCCCCGACTCCGAGTAAAGGAAGAACACTGAGCGACACGGAGAGACCGATCACAATGACCACTATAACTTTCGCTTTGAAGACAGTCGCATGATCGTGGTAAAAAAATGGTGCACGAAAGGCGAGGCATCTTTCCAAACACATGACCGCGTTGATGAACCCTGATGCATAGGCAACGCTTAAGCGAATTGTGTAATCCATATTGCACTTGAGCGCCGTGCCGGGGAACAGCACGCTAACGGTTCCTGATTCGACAAGGAGTAGGATCACGCTGCATAGATCCACGGTGACGAGTGCCTTAACTAGCAACGACGGTACGGACAGTCTTAAGGAATGACCAGTCGTGCGGTACGTCCTACAGATGACGATAAGAGCCAGTGTGTTAGCAATGATGCCGACGATGAGAATTATAACGTTTGGCACAATTAACAGCAATACGTCCTCCTCTCTAAACATATCTGGTCCTTGATTAGCCTGATGTTTTACTCGTGAATAATTTCCTTTAAAACTGTTCGGGATGCAATTACAACGGAAATACCCAGTTATGCAGAACATTGCTCATTTAGGTTTTGAATTCGCCAAGTCCGTTAGGTTTGCAACTGAAGGCGTTGTCGAAAATCAAGGCATTCTGGAAAATGTTGAAAATGCACTTACACATCCACCATCATCGGGTGTTGAGTTTATTTTAATATTATGTCATTTGCACGTTATCTTATTTACCCACTAAGCGAAGGTTAAACTCAATATATATATATTTTTCGATATGATCTTATTTCATATCTTTCGTATGTGGAGATCGTGTCAATTGAAGGACAAAACATCACAGCAAAAAAAAAAAATGTGTTCTAAAACCAACTGCAAACGGGAAACATCTCAATCCGTTTCAGAATGTAGCGATTTCCTGACGATATAAGCATTACTTGTACCAAGAATTAACTCGAACTACACTCATGAACCATACATGAGAGAGAAAGTGCGATACTACGTACCATGAACAATTCAAGAAATACAATAATCATATCCTTCGGATAATGTCTGAAAAGAGTAGCTGTAATAGCAATATTCCTTTCATGGAGAGCGCATATCACATCATCATCGCTAAATCATGCCGATTAGCATCAGAAAGTCATGTTGCCAACACCTCCTTAATCAACCACATCCGTTTAAATACTACAAACTCTGTTAATCTGGCAGAAATCACAACAGATAGCCGGCAGCTCAATGGTGAATATTGCTATTTGACATCTAGTCAATTATTTCTGCCAAGAAGCACGATGGCTCGATCAGTGTTATAAGGCCGGGATGTCTCTGGTTCGAAATCAAAGCGATGCACTAGCGTCCTCTGGTAAGATATTAATCCTCATTATCAAGTCCCTCGGAGAGGACACAAATTCGTCAGTCCCCTGATTGCTTACTTACGAGCATATCGTGCTCAGGTCGAACCATCCAGTCACGTACTACCGAGGGGACTCCAAAGAGACCCCAAAGCTACTCTAAATAAAGTTTGATACTCGGCCATTAATACTAATAGTAATTGTACTTTCGATTCTGTTGTCAATCTGGTGTTGATATCGACGGTGTGACTGTCATATAATTCCTACGTTAAACTCCTGCCGTTGATAATATGACTTCCGAATCACGTCCTAGAACCTAAAGCGGGTGCATTTCATATTTCCAAAAAGAATTGTGCTGGTATCAACGTCAAAGTGTAATATGATCCAATTATTGTATACACAAGGAGCCAAATATGAACTTCACCATAATGGGAGCGGCAAATTCAATCTACAGTGATTTCTTGTAGCCATTTATATTCCGGGAGGGCAGTCGTTTTTTCCCCGAAGGTTCGTTTTGGGCTCGAAAATGTCGTTATTTCGAAGATTCATTGATCTGAAGGTTCATGTCCTGGACGTAGCATTTAAGTTGCACAGCGTGGTCGGACTCTTACCCTCTCTAAAGATAATCACTTTGAAAAGCTGAGAAAAGTCTTTGGAGAAGGTAACTCATAGAACATCCTGATACGAGAGAAGATGGCCATTAATCTTCTGGATTGTCATCTTTGCTCACTTTTCTGTCTCGGATATAATAATGTTCACATATTTGTCGTTTACAAATGTGGTCCCATCTAGACGTATATACAATCGTCGTGATATACTCTTCTTGACCAACCCATATGGTATGTTCGCTGTACAAGTCATCTATTCAATGATCTGTGATTGGGATTAGTTTCTTGCTTGACCAAAGGGATTATACGTAACCAAGTACCAAGTGCGGGGATTAAGCCATCGGGGACAATGACCTCATTGTTCTCGTACTTGCTCTAGAAGTTCGATCTTTTGTTTAAGTACTATGTACTATGTTGCGAGTTGTGACGTCTACTTAGATAATTTTATTAGGGACTTTTAGATTCGCACGAAGACAATGGGGATTGCTACGATCGACGTCCTTTTAATGCACTGCCTTGAATGGACGTCATACGTATCAGTCCACGCAAATCTATAAGTCCCTATTATCTCTAGTGGAGGCCTTGAAACAATGTTAATAACAACATTTCCTGAGATGCGCTCTCACTGCTGAAATGACAATATTGGTATCTAAAGCGGTAGAAATAGAAAATAAACTGTGTGAGCAGAAAATGATATTTGACGAAAGATCAAACTACCACCGCCAAATCATCCATCAACTGATAGATGAAAAGATGTAGGCCTAGCTACAATATCTCATAATAGTAATTAGCATGAGAAGCACATCGGTCCCTGCAGATATTGACTCAATGCTGAGAAATATTCACCTGTCGGCTCTTCCGAATGCAGTCATAAAACATATGGGTGGGGCATGCATGCATCAATGATGTCAAACACGCAATCGTGAACATACGAGTCCATACGAATTCTTTGCCTATGACATTGCCAGTAGCTCTACAAAATCGAAGGCAACGGATTGGTATTGAGATAAAAAGTTTAGTTTTCAAACATTTCTATCATCAATGCAAACGAACTTTCACAATATTAGTTCAACATTTTAAACACGACCAATGCACCGATATGCATAATGAAGTCGCTTCAGTCGTGACAGTGTCGCTTTTTCACCACATTATGCATTGAACATTGCAGGAAACAATATTCTGTAAAAGAAAAAAATATCCAGACAAAGACGTTATCTAATCGTATCCATTTGTATTATTAACTCTATTTCGGACTGTTATCGCGACGATTCTGGTTGTAAAATCGTGATCCGAACTCATGAACCGTGATGCGGACATAGAAGTTTTTCTCCCAGTACTATATACAGACACATAAACACTGCATGATTGTATGATCCAAGCACACCTTACATTCAATGTAATGAAGGAAGTATAGTAAATAAAAGGGTGGAGAAATTCGAACCTATAAAATAATATTGAACAGCTATAAATATCTCTCTGATTTGAACGTTTGTGATCAAGGCATTAATTTCCAACGGCGCCAAGTTTTCCGTTTCCGAAAAAAAGCAGAGACGAGAAAGCGAATGTACACAGTGATAATGGAAACTTAACGGCAACTATGACTAGAATAATTAAGAGCTGATGTAAGTAGTATCTCCAGATATTTTTTAATATCTTGTACGATTCGGCTAGAATTATCTTTTCTTTCCACGTTTCAGCCCAATTCACAAATGTTTGAGTCGGGGAAAATGCCCTAATCCGGCATCTCGATCAGGATATATTCATATTTTGTCTACAGTAATTTCGACTGACAGGTTATCAAAAAAAGATGATCTTATCGACTGAATGCGTGAATGAATGGGTCCCTGAAGTCCATGTACGTGTATGAATGATGAAAATGAGGCATAATCAGTAATATGAGATCGCATGACCAACTGCATGACCATGATACCAGGACATGACATTCGGTATCAAGGCAAAGCGGAAACGACAGCTCAGAATGGGATCATTTCAAGGAAATAACAACCTATATGCTGTTCTACAACAAGTATAGTAATTTAAAAATAATAAACAAACAATGAAAACAAAAACAAAACAAAAATACTAATTATATTCCCTCTGTGCTCCCCCCCCCCCCCCCCCCTCCTCTTCACTCCATCCTTTTGATTTAACTACAAGTGGGCGTCAGATTTAGCAGGTGCCCAATGGCTGTACACATTCGAAAGGGGATGGGCACAGTTTACTTTTTCCACGCTGGGTTTCAAAAGGAGGGCACTTGCTGGTTTCGATTGCAGCACCCCTCCCCTACGGTTCACTAATTTATGCACGTGCCCTTCATGAAATCCTTGTTATATCAGGATATGCAAAACGTAAAAATTGATATTAAATTGTGTAAGGTATCAAATGCCTTCAAGTCATTACAAATAAAAAAAGACCCCTAGACAGTTTGAAGGCTCAAAGGTTTTGGGGGAAAAAATCAGTACGATGTAGTAAAGGGTCTCTGGGGGGGGGGTGGGGGCTTGCCTAGATTAACGGGTGAATATTCTGTCCACAATCTCTTTATTTCTGGATACTCCTACGGGAGGCCGCATCAGTTTCCTTGTAATGGATTTCTAGTTAACGAGACAACGAATTCATTTCACCAAACGGCTCTTCGGTTTCACCTTTATCTTCTGTCCATAAATTGAACGTCAGTTTTCATAAATCATGCAAATCGTGCAATTACTTTATTTTTGTCTGCAGCATCGTACTAGGCAACAGCTTCATAAACGCCCTATACTAGAGGGCTTTTAAACACCGGTCAAAACCTTTTTACAAGGAAGAGCGTGATTCCATGGTCTCGTGTTTATGATGCATTAGTGATGAAGTGCCTTCTATCTCTTGCTCACCCATTTACTGACTGTAATAAACTTGACTATGCTGTTGCGATAGAGTGGCATAGCTATTAGGGCAGGGGGAGCACTTAAATTTTTCCTAAATAGAAAGCTGACACATAAGAGAGGACAACAAATAACATAAAAAATGAGGGGGGGGGAAGGGCGGGGTGAAAAAGGAGCATGAAAAGAGGAGGATAGGTACCTCCTCCCCTATATCGGGGGATTCGGGGGGAATTCCCATTTGCCTATATACAGGCTGGTAAAGGACCCGTTCACTATTAAACATAAATAAATAAATCTATTCATGTTTCTTTCCTCGTGCCTAGTGACGAATTATTCAATTAACCTGTTATTAATGAATGAAATACATGACTCGGAATCCTGTCTGCATATTTAACTTGTTACTATGTCAGGCAAGCTTCGGGCAATCTTGCAGTTAGTAAGAGAACAACCTTGTTTAAAAAGTAGGCTTACAGTTTGAATATTTAGTAAACTGGTCTATAGTAAGAGCCTACTAAATCATACATTAAACATATGGACCTTTAATAAACAATAATAAACAATGGTGGCGCATTTCATTTTTAATATTTACCGTATATGTTCTGTCTTTTACAACAGGTCAATTAGTATCATCCATCGGTCTGCATATGAGAATTAATTTATGGATACGTGACGAGCATAATACTCACAGCTCCTCGAAGGTTGTGTTTAATATAGATTACAGGCTTCATTCACTTTTCATGCAGCTGTTGATAATGTTTTTAATTCATCCTTGTTCTAAAGGCTGTAGCTGTAGTCATTAGGAATAAGGTTTCATTTAGAAGGCTTTCTAGGTTACACAGACACACGTCGTTTTACTGAAGTTTGATATTTTAGAAAATGAAATAGAACCCTGTATAATTTTTTAAGACATGACGTAGGGAAAAGTCTGTATTTACTCAAACGAATTCATCCATTTATGTCGCAACTGACAGCATTTGTATTTTATTAGCGCCTAATACAAAGCAAATTTGACTATTGGGATGTAATCTGGGGAAACTTAGGAAAAGTACCAGCTACAAAGACTTCAAAATAGAGCTCTTCGTTGTGAATTAGATGTTGATTGGATGTATCTGTCTGAACTATCATTTACACAATTAGATTTTAAAAGACTTGAGGAGAGGCGAAATACACGCACTTTACATTTCATGTACAATATTGCACATGATATGCTACCAGAGAGTACATGTAATCAATTTGTATTTAGTAACAGTAATTATGTTTTAAGACATTCATATCTTAAAATCAAACTACCACCGGTTAAAACTAACTTTAAAAAGAGAAGTCTGCAATACAGTGGGGCAAAATGGTGGAATGAGTTACCTAATGATGTAAAAGCTTTGAGCTTTTACAGTTTCAAATTGGACGTTAGAGTGAGATAGTACTGTATTGGCTCCTTTTCACCATCTATCTCTCTCTCTTTCTCTAACTCTCTCTCTCTCTCTCCCTCTCGCTTCTCTCTCTCCGTCACATCTTTCTCTTTCTCTCTCTCTCTCTCTCTCTCTCTCTCTCTCTCGAAATATATATATATTTCTAACCAGCTCCCTCTATGTTATGCGCAATATGCTGTGCAATCACACTAGCTTCCTTTTCAATATAGTTATAAACAATGTTTGCCAGTTTGCTCATTTAAATATATATCAATTTTAATTTTCAATTCCTAATTTTAACTTAACTTTTACTTTATTTTATTTCATTTTATATATGTATTTATTAATTATTATATTATGTTGTTCATCACGCTCGTTATAATTATTTTCATTATATTTTATTCAATTGATTTCAAATCCGCTCTTCTAGTTGTTTAATTTGTATTGCGTCTTAATTTGAATTGTATATATATTGTGTGTGATTTTAATTATGTATGCACGGACTTGCTGAAGAACAGCCATTGGCTGAAGCAAGTGATCCGTGTTGAAATAAAATTAAAGGAATGAATGAAATGAAAGAATTTCGAACCTTCGGGATAACTAACCTATTTCATTTTCGGAATGACAAACCTATTTCATTTTTGGAATAACAAACCTATTTCATTTTTGGAAGTACAAACCTTCAGATAAGGAAACCTACGGAAGAACTCAAGAAATTGTATGAATTATGAACATCAACAGCAAATAGTGGCAGAAAAAACACACTTTCATACTTTCGTGCCATTTTGATTTTAACACGAAGATGAAGGCTTCGAAATTGAAATAAACAACAACCAATAAACAAAACCAATAAACAAACAAATACATTAACCAACAAATCGACAGAAAAAAAAATCGAAACCAAAAAAACAAATCGAAACAAGAAAAAAGAAACAACAAGAAAAAAAATGAACTTAACAAAAAAAGGGTCTATATCTTTCCTGTATCTTAAAGCCACACTGTCCTATTTGTAGCTACTTGCTCCCTCTATG